CCCTTATCAGGGTATATTAAGATTGTCCCGAATGCATATACATATATGTATGTAAATGTACAACGTGACGAGCTAAGTCGATTTAGCCATTTAGTCTAAATCTCCCTCCGTAGGTACAGAAACTAGTCCCTCAGCGTTTGAGATTCCGATCTGAAATTTTTTATACAAGAAGCTGTTCATTTGCCTAATTTGGCTAATCTATGTCATCTATGTATATATCTATATCTTCGGTCAGGCAAGATTAGAATCTCCGAACATATTGCAAACTGGTCGAACAAAATCAATATAAATATCTTTTTATACCCCTCTAAGCTATAAGAAATGCACCTGTCGAGGGTATTATAGCTTCGATGCGGCCAAAGTTTACGTTATTTTCTTTGTTTTGCTTCATAAATATATTAAGTTATATCGATGTAATTACTTGGGAGGCTCTCTGATCTAAATATTTCAATTACCGTTTTGCAACTGAAAAAGCAAAGGGAAAAAATTATTTATTTAGTACATATGCAACCTTTCATTAGCTAATGCAATTAACTATTGGCTTGCCAACAAGCAAATATTACATATAACTTAATATTTGCTCTAGTTTTTTATGCTTTCCGAAAGCTTTTGAGCTGTAATTAAGGAAATGGGTGCAGTGACAAGAAAATAATATCGATTTGACTATCTATATTACACATATTGCAGGTATATATTATTAAAGGTAGCATGAAACCCTGTGGCGCAGCAGACTAAACTCAGTATCAGTTACTTTAGAAATAACTTAGCTTAGCTGTTGTGTGCAGTTGAATGTTAATGAAGTAGAAGAGTTTAGAATTAAAAAAGCCTTAAATATGCTGTAATTAAGATTACAGACCGGTAGGTAAGCGGCGTGTATTTATATTGGGTCAATGCTGCGCTGGTTGCAGTTCAATAGCCATTGTAGCTTTTTTGTTGATAAAAAGAGAAGTACAATAAACAAAGAGCATAAGAAACAATAACAGCTTTTAGTAGTTTTATAAATCACTTTATGGATTCTGAGTAAATATAAAACTGTATTAAATCGAAATTCCGAACATTCCGCAAGTTAAAAATACTGAAGGACGTAGCTGCACTGCTAAACAATATCCATATACAGTTGTTCGGAAAGTAGTAGGACTGATTCCTAGCTAACGAACGAGGGGCTGTCAGCTGTCCCCGTACACCTGGAGAGTCAGAATAAACATGTTTCCGTGAGTGGTACAAGTCGAAAATGCAGCGTTCGTTAGAGCAGAGGTACGCGATTAAATTCTGTGTGAAACTCGGTAAATCTGCTACAGAGACGTTTTATATGATCAAGCAGACATATCCAGATGTTGCTTTAGCAAGAAGTGGTTTGTTTCGGTAGCACCAGACCTTTTGGGAGGGCCGGGGAGAGGTCGCTGATGAAAACTGTGCTCACACCGCCTTTCTTGTGAAATAATAAATACATTTCTTTTAATCAACTCAGTCCTATTACTTTCCGGACAAACTCTATAATGTACATATGAAGCTAACCGGAAGTTTGAAAATTGTATCTCTTATATCTGGGGACCACACCCACTTTTAAAAAATTTATTTAGATAGACAGACGTAATTACATTATACAGCTGCGAAATAAGAAGAAAATAGGCACTACTATAATGGTAAAAGTACCTAAATTATGGTAGAGTTTTTCATCATTCAAAGTTCTACACTGAACTACTTTGCCTTCTATGTTTCTTGTTATTCCTTTCGCCTATCTCAAATAAGTCAACTCAGCTCTGGCAATGTAAGCAAATTTTTATTTAAAAATTCCGCTTTTTTTATATGGTGTACGATACATATGTATGTACATATGTCTGCCGTAGGCATGTACATACTATATATGCTTGTACCTTTATGTGTTTTAATTTAATAGCAAGCGTATCAGCAGATATTCGCAACTTTGTTTTGTCGTGGCTGTTGTTTTTTCAAGAAAAAAAAACTTGACTTGTTAGCGAAAGCAAGTTGTTAACTTTGACTACCGCTGGCGTGGTATAAATAGTAATTACTTTTAATTGTGCGCACTCACATATGACTAAATTGTTTTCATATTAGCACTTTATACGCGAGAGTTGGGGGCAACGAAATCATTACTTTTCAGCACCTTTTTCTACAGAAGTGCTAAATGTAAAATGAGAATTGTCACAAACTAATTACATTAACTAATTACGCAAATAAATTTTTAAAGTTTGCTTTATATACTACCTTATGCTTGTACCTATACTTTAACAATTTTTTACAAACCAGCTTTTAGTGTTTATTTGTTTAGTTGTTATTGCTTTAAAAATATCATGCAAAATTTTCTATTATTTTTTTTCGAGTTAAGCTAATAAAGCGCTGCGAAGAAAATTGTAAGTAATTTCTGGTGCTAAGTACTGTTTCAAATTGATTACACACCCCGTTCGGCAGTTAAATAAGATATTGTTAATTTAAACCGCAAATAAATGCCCCATTCCATTGCCCCTCAAAACATGCAAGTACCAACAACTTGTCCACAGACTCTCGTGCCATACAATGTTGTTTTGCTGCCTTCAAAAGTTGTGTAAACATTACAAGTTGTTTCTTACGCTTGTGTACACACAAGCAAATAAGTAATTCGCGGCTGTTTTTATTAAGCTTCTATCAATTTTATTTTGTTTTTTGGTATTATTATTTTTTAGAATGCTATACATATTTCAATTAAACCCGCTGGCTCTTTATTATGATTATATTTTTAATTGACTCCACTGCTTAGGAGTTTTTATTGTTTGCCATAGTTTAGGTATTTCTAAAAATATGGTGGATACTTTTTGATCTATTCTCTCTCTCTCTCTTTTTAATTCAAAAAAACGTATATTTCTGCATTAATTACTTTGAATTGCATTATAAAATTCAAAACTTAACTTGTTTACGCCAGAAAGCATGCTTAATTAATTGTTGAATTTCTACAATTCAGTTCCGCGAGCTCTTCTGCTGCTAGAATACCCAAATGTACTTTTATTTGTTAACAATAGTTGTCCAAAGGCGAGATAAGGTTTATCAACCTAGTCATAGCCTTATCAAAAAGTCACCAAACTATTTACTTAGCGCCATGAAGCCTAAAAGTAGGCAACCATTAATGAATACCTTAATAAAAACAATGTTTCATGTAATGCTAATGTTTATATCCTTGACTTACCTATTGATGTTATGAGCATATTTCTGTTTAAGATATTCACTTACTTACATCTATATGTACACATATATACATATATTCCTTACATAACTTAGGTTGGTCAACACACATTATGTTCAACCACGCCTTTTAGCGCAAATAAATTAAACTGTTACTTCAAATTCAAGCAGCAAATAATCTGAATGCTTTAGCAATTGTTGATTTGGGCCTTAGGGTGGGTCGCTTTGCATTTTTTGAAATCTTAAGGCTGGGACTTACTACAAAATAATAATTATAATTTTACACCTTAGAAAATTATATAAATATATATATTTCTTTTTACTAACTAAAACAAATTAATTTTTTTTGCTCAGTGCTCGTGAAATATAAATTTAATTGCATATAACTATAAAAATGGCTTTATGGAAAAATTCAATCAATTGTAGAACAGAAAATTTTGTATTAGAATATCTTTGTGTTGAAGTTCTATGTTTACTTACAAACTATTAAAAAATTCCACATGAGGAAAATAACACGATTGTAAATAAAGATCTTTTTTGAATTAATAATTTTTTAGGGTAAAAACTACAAAAACAAAATCAAAGGGTGAAATAACCCGCACACCCTAATGTACATATTATATATTATATATGTACATATGCATACATTGGTATTAGTAAATAAAATAATTAACACGTACTTATGTACACATATTTAACATATATAAAGCATGCGAGTAAAGATAATAAGTGGGCGTTTTTCATGTTTACATTTTAATGAATGAAAGTCTGGCTCATATTAATGAATAAACGTGCAGTCCTTACCTAACAGTGAAATTAAAAATAATTTAATACTAATGTGCGGAACACAATGCTCGCGACAGACTCCAGCAGCACGACAGTGCATCGAAAATGGCGTTGTGAATCCTACTACATGAAAGTTTGTGAGAGGGCAGCAACATAACAATGGCCGGCATGTACGCAAAATGACGCAGTTGTCCATTTTGCATGTACACAATTTCGTTGTGTTCATACTAATACCTTGCAATTCGATGAAATTTTAATATTTTGTTCAAAGTGAAATTTTTAAGCAAAAAATAAGTAAATTTATTTGTTTTAAATTATCAAATATTATTATAAATGATGTAACAGAGCTATTTTATGCTTTTATTTGTAAAATAATGTCAGATTTGTTAAGCTTTGAGTAATTTTACATTTTACATATTAGTGGCATCACCACCTACCTCATCTCTCTATCTTCCATTCTACTGTCAACAGTACACCCTTCAGGGTATAAAAAGTAATAGAAAGTCTATAATGCAAAGTGTTCTCTTATACAAATAGATAAGACATACATTCATATAAATATATATATATTATCATACATTATAATATAGACATAATTTAGTACAACTATGGTATGTAATTCAAACAACAATTTACGCTTAATACAATCAATTATCAGTTCAATGGTTCAATGGACAATTGATATGATAATGCCAATCGCCCGTAATGATAATAATAAGCCGTTATAAATACATAAGCAAATGTTACAATGTGTGTACACATTTATTCCACTGCAAGTTATTGTGAAACACTATCATTGTTATAGCAAATATATATGCACAAATATCTGTACATATTGAACAATAAAATAATAAAAGAAGCGCTTTCAACAGCTATTTCTGTGGACTATAGTCCACTCCCTACTTTATTTTACACACAGCACTTGCAATCATTTTCGGCTTGTGTTGCACTTAGTATAATCTCTCTCGTTTATTATTCCATATCCTTTAATTTCATATGCAATTTCTTTTAATGTTTTTTCACGTTTTTCGTACTTGCAGCGTCAGTACATATGCTGCAACTCCCAACGATTCTACTTCCATGGCACCATTGCAAAGTCACACTGAAACGCAGAGTGTCACGACATTAAACTTGCAGGACAAAGAAACCTCGCCAAACAGCAGTAAATCGAGCAGCTCGAGCAGAACACAGTCGACGCAAAAGCAAAATCAACAACAACATAAGCGACAGAGCTCCAATCAAAGTGATTATTACAACACTGCCTATTCGACAACGTCAGACAGTTCAACGCAGAATCTGAACAATTGTCTAGTCGACGTCAGGTGAGCCAATTGTAGACACATAGATTTTGCCATTACCAATATTTTTAAGAGGGAATGCCAAAATTCCTTATTGCTATGTTCCTCTTTCATTTGAGCGGTTAGTTTTTTGGTTAGTTAGTTAAATGGCGATCCTATCCGCACGATTTGTTCCGAGATCATAGCATTGCCTTGCATAATAATCTATGCCGAATATCGTGAAAATATCTTGTAAAATAAAGAAGTTTTCCATACACAGAGTTTCTCTGGAAAGGAAGAGGACTGAGTCGATTTAAAAAAATTCGTTGAACTAATCGTTACAATTCTTTAAAAGAAATAGGCTCCTTCTGCGCCCATGCAGCGCTGCCAGCGCGGTTTTTAAGCTTTGAAGGCGACACGGAAGGTCTTCTCCGGAATAGCTTTTAGAGCCGAGGTGCATGATGCTTGGATCCCGTAAGTCGTCTCAAAATGCTTGCCTTTCGTCGGCCTTTTCAGGGAAGGAAACAAAAAGTCCAGGGGTCACATTTGCGCTGTAGGGCGGCTGCGGAAGATTTGGTTAGGTAGCTGCAACTTTAAATCGGCTGCGATATCTTGTCCGACCCAATTCATCAACAAATTCATAGTGGACAATGCCTTTGATGTTAAAAATGACAATGAGTATCGTTTTCACTTTGGATTTGCTCATTCTTCCCTTTTTTGGGCGATGAGACGCTGGTCTTCCAAAAAGGCCTGGTGCCACCGAAACACCACTTCTTGCTAAAGCAACATCTGCCAAACGTCTCTGCCGCAAATTTACCGAGTTTCACTGCTTTTTCGGCTTGCACCACTCACAGAAATACGTCGCGCGAAAATATTTGTCTTGACTTTCCAGGTGCTCGGAGACAACTGACCATCTGCTCGTTCGTTAGCTAGGAACGCCCTCTATCGAATCCAGTCGATGCGCGCACGACGGAAGAAAATCAGTCATATTACTTTCCGGACAATCCCTGTATGTATACTTTTAAATCTCTGATGTTTCCTTTCTAGTGTTACAAACTTCGTGGAAACTTTAAAGGTCTTTGTTCAGCGTATATATCATTACTTTAAGATCGCTTTTCTTTTGTCTTGTTTGCAATTTGCATTGTTTTCTTCAGTAGTCAGTAGTAACATAAAGCCGATTGAAGATATTGCGACAAAAAAAAAAAAAGAATACTTGTGAAAGGGAAATTGGGAGCTAAAAACCGCAAATCTATGCTTCCATACGAGTATTAAAAGCATTTCAGGTTACACATACATACATTTAGGTCAATAGCGTATTATTTAGTAATTTTTTTTAATATTTTGCAAACTTGAAAGAGATGTTTGAATTGTTAGAAAGCAAATGGAATGTAAATAAAAGTAAGCGTAACTATATAGTACATACATAAGCACAATTAATGGAGAGAAAGTTGTGAGTCTGAACAAATCGAAAGATTTTTTATTTTTATTTTTTTATTCTCATCTTTATTTTCATCAAACAAAATAATAGGAACCATGCTTCGCCAGAGTAAAGTTAGAAAAAACTCCATTAGATTTTTAATTTTTAGGTAATTTTTGTAACAACTGGAACAACAGCTGACTGTGAATATTCTCTTTGTCGCAAAAGACGGACGCTTCAGAGGCAATGAAACGCCTACGGCAGAAAATACCGACTAAGAACTAACGACATATGTAAAAGTAATGCAACCATTAAAATACTTAGATACCCATTGAAGATAGCAGAGCGAGTGCTTAATGGCATACTGAGCGTTAACCGACATTATTATGAGTTCTTTAAGAAGAATGCCGCTTAAGTTTATCAGCAGCTCGAGATAGGAGAGTGCTAGACGTGCAGCCGCGCCGAGGAGATTTAGTTAAAGCTTGTAGTTGGTTACAGCTTTTGGTTGGGGCGGCGTGGGACTTGGTATTTGTATTGTCACGGAGAAGTCACTTTAAATATGTGTAAATACATATTTTTGTATATGTATATATGAATGAAAGTTTTTTTTATGGGGCCAAGGCGATTAGAAGTTAATCAGATAAAGGCTTAAATGTTTATATTATTATAGTTATTTGCCGTTTAGTTATTGCGCCGTTAATATTATCATATTTATTATTTTGAGTTAGTTTATCTTATTTCTTTAAAGTTTTTAAAATTGATAGTTCTAATTTGTATTAGAAATTAGCTGTTATGGACAAACATCGATAAACATTGTAAGCGACTCGATAGAAAAAATAAATCAAAAGGTTAACGAAATGTCTGTTTCATAAAGATGTAACAAGAAAAACAAAGATATTCACCATTTCTTACCCTTTTCAAAAAAAGAAATTAAAGGTTTAATGATAAATTGAAGTTAATGTTGGGTAGTCGAAAAAGTCTCTTCGTATTTTGTCAATAGATGTCGTTGCAGTCGTATATCGCCAGTGCTATCAATCACATTGTGCCATACCATGTAGTGTTGGAAAGGTGAGACTTTAAGCTTTTTTTAAAAAAATTTAATCGGCGAAGTTGGAAAAAAGTTACAGCTGTTCAAATTCAAAATTTGTGAAAATATTGAAGAAATTAGCTATATTTTGAAATTTTTGTACAAAAAAGGGAAGAATGCCAAGCAGGCCACCAATGAAATTTGTGAAGTTTATGGAGACGATGCTGTATCAGTTCGTGTCGCAAAACAATGGTTCGCTTGCTTCCGTCCTTGAAATAACGATTTACACTCATTAAAATTTTACATGTTTACTCATCATATTTCCCCCTATATTGCCATATATGTATATTAGGTTGTCAAAAAAGTGTTGCGGTATTTTCGCTAGTTGGCGCTGAGAGCGCGTATTTCTAGTTTTATTCGTCGCATCGGGTCATGCTATACCTTTTTGGAAAGCTCATTTCACGCGCTAACACGTATAATTATCTAACCTCAAAGTGTTGGAATGTCCTAGACGTGTCAACAAGTGGCTTAAATTAGCAACATTATCAAAAATCACTATTTGCACACCTGTTCGTACTAAGTGCAAACTGATAAAAAAAAATTGGTAAACAAACAGTTATTATCTCATACTTTTGTACGTTTGAACTGATAAATATTTTTTGACACAAAAATACAGTTATGCATTAAGCTATCGAAGGGCTTGATAGCGCCGCAGCGTTTCCTAAAAACAACAGGTGCTCGTATAGCGATAAGATTTATGAAATTTGTTGCTATTGATATATAAAATAAAACACCGTTAGAGATACATGAAAACGCCAACCGGAATGGTCGACAAATTACTCATCACATATGGTTAATGTGGTATATAGAAAACTCCCCGGGTTGATGTGCTGTCTTAGCGCGTCCATGAGTCACTCAATATTTTCTTCGATATCTGTAAAAGTACAAATACAGCACCCTTGATTTCATTTGTTGTATAATATTTATGTTGTAACACGATATATAATATATTCTAGTATTTTTGTTTTTGCTTTCCTCTAGTTTGGTAAGTTTAAACTCGAAACTATAACATTAGGTAATAGAAAAAAATAGAAATGGAGATATACGCCTGCAACGCCAAATTTTGACAAAATACGAAAAGCCTTTTTCGACTACCCAATAAATACCCATTCACAATGCCTACGCCTTGTTTAGGGCACCTTGTAATCGTTTTTTTAAATTTTATTACCGATTTTATTGGCAATAATCGGAAACTCATGACTGTGCAGCAATTTACAACAGCGTGATACACCCAATCACGAGCGACATTCCAGGAACACTCGTGCATTTTGGGTTTTGCTTTGTCATATGGTTTAAAAAAATTTATGCTTAACATGTGAATAGTAGCTTGTACCAAGTGGTGCCGTTGAAGAACTTTATGACTGACTTCATGCTGCAAAATTTGCTACTTATCTCTTTAAAGGGACAATTCGTTGTTTCACCGCCTTTTTGGAGTAATTTTCAACCAAGAGTTTTTTTATATTTTTTATTTTTCGATGGGTTCGGCAGCAATGCATTCTGAATATCTGTACGACATTTTTTTGATAAGTATTTACCGTTATCTCGCACCTGTGCTGATTTGACGTAGGAACCTGATAAATCGTTGCTACAAGTTCACTGCCATTGCTGCTCAAGCGCTTACACGCATTTTATATATAGGAGGGTACACATTTTCACAGGCCACCTGTCCACTTGTCTATTGACGCGCCGTCAATTACTTTGTTGTTTTTGTTTATTAGCCATGTTGTCGGCACTCATATAGTAAATAATATTAGAAACCCCCGTTACTAGTTTGCAAACTGATAAGTACTGTTAACATAAATCCAAAATTCAGTTCGGGCCAAGAAGAGACAGAACCTTTAGTTGAAATTTGTTTATTGACAAAAGTGGTACGTAGAATGTAAAAAGCCACTGAGCGGCTTAATCCAACTGCATTGAACTTTAGACATCAATATTGGTAGAAATAAGAGTGAAATTCATGAAATTATGCACCGCAAAAACACTTATTGGCTCTTCAGCAGGTGCGCTTACAAATTATTTAGTGGTTCCGTGCAATATATTTATATATATTTTTTTAGTTTAAATATTTCCCTTTTTTAAATTTAAATATTTCTTTTTTTTTAATTTTTACTAGTTATTTAATTTACTTTTTTTGTTAATTTAATTCATATGCGCAATTAGCTTTTTTCATATTTTTATTAATTATTTTATTAGTTTAACTTTATCATCTCATTTAAATTCGTTACAATTAATCAAATGAATAAATATACTATATATATGTATATTAGAGCGGGTTGATATACAGGGAGCCAAAAACAACAGAAAAATTGCATAAACGGATTTCGGGCCAGCGATTTTTGAGGCAAAATTTATCCTTTTGGGATTATAAAAATTTCTAAGACAGTTTTTGAGATATTCGAAAGGAACGTAATACACCCAGTTTTTACACGGTAGACACGTTACTCAGAAATCCGTGTAAAAAAGAGGTGTTTCCTAAAGTAAAATGTTAAAAACGTTCCATGTCATCTGAAAACCGTGTAAGATGAAATAACGAACTATATTTACTTCAAAAAACCGTGTAAAAAATTTTTGAAACTATACAAATTGTATTTTAGTGAGCATTAAAACTTAAAATACATAATTCATACAGGTGAAAAATTGGTAGAGCAAACAAAAAACAAAAGAAATCGTTTAATCTAGAATTAAGAACAGAAAAATTTTAATAGAAATAAAGAAAAAATATTTACATAGCTACATACATAATTATTCGTCGTTACTTGATAACTCGGTAACATCACTGGAGATATTCATCAAATTATACAATAGTGACTTTCGTCCGATAATAGAGATTTGAATTGTTGGACTACTTTCCGAAAGGTCTTGCGACGTGTAACGATTAATCGGTTATTTCATTTTCCTGTAACTGGAAACCTCTTAGGCAAAGTTGTTCTGTCCAGCATTTCCCACATATGCGATTTTATATAAAACTGTCGACCCACTCTATTGTTTACACATATACATATAAAACTTTACAAATACCCGATTTTTTCAATCGCTCGGCTACAACTCGTCTACCGTCGTTGCCCATATCAAGCTGATAAGTTAGCCGCTGATAACAGCAAACAAAACAAATACCGTATAGACTTCTATTCCCCACCAGTTAGTCCGAATGGCTTAAAGTAGTTAATTCCCACCACTTGCCCGTTAGCCAACTACAAACAGTCAAAACTTTATGGTACTTCACATACATACATACATATGTATATATGTACATTCATATGCATAGAAAATGCTGGTCAATATTACTTTGCTTTACTCACTTGCAAAACTCACCACCGCCGCTGGTTAGTATGCTAAGTGCGCGAGAGCGCAAAAGTTGAAAATTGGTTGCGCGCAACGAAAATATTTTGAGACGTAAAAATATATAATTTCTCGGGTCAACAAATACATAATTGTGCTTAAATACATATATTTTTGTGAATCCCAGCTTACTTCCGTAATTGCGAACTAGATGTGATAACAAAGTAAATGCGGCCTTAAATTTGACGGCGGTTTGAAATACACCATTGTGGTGACTTGTCTGTCGCACGCGGTTAAAGAAATGCAAAAAGTGCACGCTTTACTAAGCCGAAAAAGAAAAGCAAACAGCGTATAAGCTAAAAGAGTTTTATGTGTTTGTGATTTATGCGTTTCTCGTTCAATTTTAACTCATAACAATGACAAAGACCACTGACACGCTAAGCAGCCTAATTTATAGCGCGAAGAGTGTTTTTCAGCCGCGATGTGAAAATGATTTAAAATCGTTCGAAAATTATATATACGATAATTACGTATCCGATTTGGAGGGCGTCGGCGAACAAACGCCAACGGTTGAATTTGAGAAGCGCTCCAAGCGAAGATCCAAGCTCGAGTTGCCTTGGAAGCATCATGAAGCGTACGCCGTGGAGTTCCATTGCGCCACCTCAAGAGAGTAAGTTAGCTCGCTTTTTTAAATAACAAACATTATTCTAAATGATGCGAAGTAGAATAGCATTTGAAAAGAAAACTTGGGCAGTGAAAGCCCGGAGTGGAGTAAAATTTTCTCGTAATTTTCTTTACGCGGCATTCACGGCCTTCACGATATAACCGATATAATAACAATATTAGTGCTTGAATCTTCATTGAGCCTAAAATAAAATAAATCTATTGTATGAATACTAGCTTATGCGCTTGATTCGAAATCACGAAATTTTTTAAATACTCAAACTCTGTATATAATAAGCGCGCACAATATTATTTGCGTTCTATGAGCCATTTTAGACAGCTACTGTCGCATAATGGTTAATCAATATTACTCGTAAAGGGATTAAATGACGAAATAAGTAGAACATTATTATCATTCTCTCACACAGTATAGAGTTTACGGCTTAGCTTCAAAAGTAAAAGCGTGTATACAAGTGTTATTTATGCTTGAAAGTCAGGAAAAAAGACAAAAGAAAAAGATTTTTTCGCTATGTTCTTTAAAAGGGAGTTTTTTTTAATAAACTAATAAAAATAATGCAAATTTACAAAATTTAATTTACTTTCATAAACGGCGATTCTTTTTGAAGAATATTGTATTCGCTTGATTCTGTATTCGATCCTCAAAATGAAGGTGTTTGTCGTTGAGCAAGATTTTTCTTTGAATACAGGTAATGGTGGAGGGACTTGTCAAAATTTTTATTTTTAACTTCACTAAAAGAAGTATTTTTTATGAAAAGTTTCACACTTTAGAGTAGCTTAAACCCAAATTTAAACCAAAAACCAGTCTTTCGAAGAAATTTCCTCATTAACTCAGAAAACTGTGTTTCGAGAAGAGGACATTTAAACATTTTTTACAAATATGGATATGATACTTATAATGTGGAGCACTGTTGTGGTATTTCGTAACTTACATTTTACCAAGTGACATTGGCTGATTCAGATACACATACGGGCTCGAGATAGCTTTTGTAAACTAACCGCATGAAGAATGCCTTCTTTAGTGAATACATTTCATGTGAATATACCGATATTTTCTTCGTCAAGAATCCCCCCGGGCTCGGAGCAGGATAGTTCGCTAATAATACCGAAAATTATAAAATTATTTTCCAAGGAATTAAAAAAGCTACTTCCTGGTTCAGCCATTAAGCATAGAAATATATTATATATAAATTAATCGACAAAACATTATAGAAAATTAAATAAAAGCCAATTTGTGCCTTTGTTTATAGCTCGGCTCTAAATATTGGCTAATTAATATTTTACAGACAAAATACCAGTCAGCGTGGGAGTGCTACATATGCTTAATACTGTCCCATGGTTTGACATACAATTTATTTCACTGCACTTATATGCTTATGGATATAAGTATACATATGTAACAGTTTCCTGCGTATGTTTGTGGACAAAAGTATCTATAAAGTGTGCTGCTTTACAATGATTGCTTTATTGTTAACTATAGCCATTAATTTATTTTCAATTAGCCGAACATTGTTTAGATATACAGATATATGTATGTACATATATATATTTACTATAAAATTTGTACATACATATGTACATACATATATACACGCACTAATCCTCCAGTTTTTGAGATATTGTTCGGAAGTTACAAACTGAGCAATCAAAATCAAGACCTCGTCTGGAAAACTTTTTTATTTGGCGAAATTTGGCGTGGATGATTGCCCAAGCCAATGGTATAATATCCTAACATATTGTGCTATTTCTGAAAAGTATTATAAGTATATGCAGTGTTGCCGAAACTAACGTTTTTCTTGTATCCTTAAACATTCAACTATCTAGAAAATATGACAACTTTAGTACGAAATTATTTCTTTAAAACATTAAATTTTCTTCTTGCAAATTTTTGAATTCATTGCCAAATTGGTGTGGTGTAATTTAATGGTGTATGAGAGCGCATATAACTAACCGCTTAAAATAAGCTATATTCGTTGACGCCAAAATAACTAAAAATGCTATTTTTACAAAATATTCAAAAAAGTGAAAAGGTGAGACGATCCTACCTGTAATAAATAGACATCTTGAATGCTAACCAAAACATTATAAAAATAATCAAAATATCTGCAAAGCAGAGAGCAACAACAGCAATTTAATATCGCATAGAATCTACGCAATCAAGGTGTTGTCCATTAAATTAATTGGCTTTATTAATAACCCCTCTGTGTCATTGTAGTCTTTGCTCATGCCCAACGGTATATGCCATGCTATGACGTCATGAATAATCTCTAATGATTGCGTGTGCATCGGCAAAGAACCGACAACTCGAGGGAAAAACAACAAACGTCACAAACGCGAATTTATGGTTGGCATGCAGCAAAACAATAACAAAAGATTGATGCATATAAAAAAATAAACAAAACAGCTGCTGCCGGGTAGTCTGCAAATGTCTTCAGAAGCGCTTATAACAAATTAGGCTTATATTGAGGGATGCAGTGCGCACACATTTCTAAACTTTCATTTATGCTTGGCGTGTATTTATTCAAAACAAACAATAAATAATTTTCTTTTAAATATTTGCGAAATTTTGGCACTCAGCGTTGAATAAATGAGTTCGAGAGGGAATTTTAAATTGCTTTGGACATCATCTGAAAGCGCATTGATTTTTCGTAGGACAATGTGAGGGCGCAAAGGTTTTTACAAAAGCGCGATGTCGTGCTTTCTTATGTTTTCTCTTAACATTATATTATAATAATCTATATTATCTTCTCCGATTCTTTCAATAGAAGACTCATAGCTTGTGCCTCCTTTGAATTGCAGGTCTTTGAACACCATAGCGCCGAGCGGTTACACTGTCAGCACACGCAGCCTCAGCCCAACGTCCCGTAAGAGTGCTACTAACACCACGGCGAAGCATGAGCAATCGACTGCGGCAGCAACAGCTGCTGCCGCCGCTACAACAGCGGTGCCTGCCGAGAAGGAGAAGAAGCGTAAAGAGGTCTCCAGTTCGCGTGTGAAGAAATTCCATCGACACTTTACGCAGGTGTCCAAAGATGAGAAGCTCATCAACTGTGAGTATAAGATGGTATGAAAAACGTGCATATATTTACTATACAATTTGGAATTTGTAGATTTTTCTTGTGCACTTGTTAGTGACATACTGCTGCAAGGACATCTTTATATAACAGATCAGCATTTTGCATTCTATTCAAATGTGTTTGGTTATGTTACCAAGGTAAGTTCGAAGAGTCTCTCATTAAATTGTTAAAGAACAGTAAGTTTCAATTATTTTTTTCTTCACTAAAAACTAGGTTGTCATACCCACGTCGTCCGTCACGAAGATCTCCAAGGAGAAGTTGGCGAAAATTATACCGAACGCCGTGGGTGTCGCCACCGCCGATGAGCGGCATGTCTTCGGTAGTTTTATGAGCCGCGAGGCAGCCTTCCGTCTAATGTGTAGCGTTTGTCCGCCATTAGCACCTATTGAAAATCTTCCAAAAGCACCCGCAGACATTGAAATTTCCGAAGAATACTCAATCGAGGATGACAGCAGTTGTTCGATTAGCGGCAACGAGAGTCCACCACAAGCTCTAGTTGCAGCAGTCACGGCTAATGCTGGCGAAATCGATGAACTTGGCCAAACGCTGATACACCGCAATGTAGCGGGCTCCAGTGTGAGCATTGCTGATGGCACCGCAGCAACAAATGAAAACCATCGACATTCCGGTAAGTGAAAGTGAACACTCGTAAAGTAGCATGAATAATTAGACCAATTGCAACACATTGCAGATATTCCAACAGATGCCAAACAAGCCGGCGCTTTTTCCAACACAAATATGCGCGCTTCAGCGCCACCCTCGGCACGCTACAACTCCAACCACGGCAAAACTACCAGCGGTGCAGACTGTACACCGATTGCAAATGCCAGCAGCAGTGATGGCTTGGCGACTGCCGGTATTGCGCTAATTGTGACCGGCACCAATACGTCGGGCTCATCGTCGCCCACACCGTCAACATCTTCCTCGCTGCCAATCACAGTGATGGGCAGCACACCTAAGTCAGCAGGGCATGCGGCTGTGTCGAGCTTCAAGACGCTGACACAGAAGGCGCTGCTGCGCTTGAAATTCCCCAAGGAATTACATGTCGTTTACTTAGGTGTGCTGCTTACTATGGTACTGGCGCTATTTTCTGTTTTTCTGCTCTATCGAATACTGGACATTGAGGCGAAAACGAGCGCATACCGCTCTCCAAATGAGTTCAATTGGGTGAGTAGGATCGACGGCATATGAGTATTAACTAATAAACTATTCTTTGTCGAAATTTTGTTTCCTTCCAGCAGCGCACCGGCAGCGATGACGATATATTTGCGGAGGCTTTGCGTTGGCAAAAAGAACTGCAAGCTAAAAGCACCGAAGAAGCTCAAGATATACTTACACACAATTTAGAGCAGATTGCCAAGGTGAGTCGAAAATTGCACCATATATGCATTTTATATCACAAGTATGAAAGTATTGTAGACGATATGAATATTTCACTATATATGAAAGTATTATAGAGGATCGATTATTATTATTATAGCACCTTAAAGTATTCCCAAGTTGTATTGGTGACCTTTGAATTGCTTTCATCCACAACGCATGAACTGTTAAACTTTTTAGGCGGTTTCATTAAAAGATTAAATATATAAAATACATATATTTTCTTGTATGTAGAATTTCGGTTGGCATTTCCGTTGCCACCGTCAATATGTTTATTTGTTTTATACGTATTATAAGCCACCTGGCCGTAATCATTCACACGCCAGATGTCTGGCCTGTAATTTCCGGCATTTTTAGGAGCGCTTATCAGCCTTCGATAAGCACAAAAAAAAATTTAAAAAAAATATTATTAGCGCTTCTGAGAAATAATCCAATTAATGTCTAGTTTTCAAATGCAATCGATTAGTATGACAATCGTTTTATCGGTTCCTATATTTTTTAATGAGGCGTTTGACCGCTTTAGGTGATTATGCAAATCATGCGCTCATTTTATGGGCAATTTTCGTAAATTTTCCCTAATTGTCTGTTATGGCAACTCATCTATAATTATATATTTGTTTGTTATTATTATTTTTGTTTTTTTGTTTTTATTGAAATATTGGGTTTTTATTGAATTGGGGTTTTTTTTATTGGGATTCACCGAGCGTATGACAATTTTTGTTTGACTGGGAAATTATTTCATTGCTACTGAGATTGAGATTGAAAATTCGCAAACTTGCAAACCACATGAAAAGAAGTTCAAGTTCTTATCAACCGTTAATTTAATTTTCAATAAAATGACCCCCACAATTCAAATGCAGTTCACAATTCAAGGACAATGATGCGTGTGGCAATAAGTTCATATAAATATTTTTGAAAATAAATTAAATATTTTTCTAGTTACATCTCCGACTCGGCTAACAATAAACGGTACTCAACTGACACAATGATTCCGGCCTTCTGTGTGTATAAAACCTAAAAAAAATCTCTATTAGAAGCTATTGTCTATCAATGACCTGTGGTCGATAAAGAAATTAAAAATTAACAAAACGGCGGGCTTTTATTAATAAAAAGTTGTATTTTACCCAAAAACCCCAGCATTTGATAATTTTACTTACCATTTTTATCATTTGATTTTTTATATTTGAAAAGTTAGCCAAATATGTGTTCTTGAATTAGAAAGGAAAGAGGCCTTGTTCTCTTCGTTATGATTTCCGCCCTGTTGTCATTGGAAAATAAAACATTGATGAATTCTTAATTAGTATGAATGTCGCTATATCAAGAAGCTGCAAAAGTGAAAAAATCATAAAATGGCAGCTACTCTAAAAAAATGTATATTTTTCACTCATTTTTTAACATTGTCGAATTTTTTAAAAATATTAGAAGCTTGTGTTTTTCATTTTATTGTTGCGTCTGATTAGGACTAGAGATTTTGTGGAAAGTGCATCGAAAAAAGTAATTTCGAGAAAAACTTTTTTAAAATTTTAAGTTAGAACTAAACAGGTCCTGTTGCGACGACAATAAAACTTTGCAAATAATTTGTGTTTCGAAAAGGGAGATATTTTCGAATATCTAAACTATGAAAAGAAATTTAGATTTTTTCAGATTAATAGACAAACATACCCCCTCAAGAAGAAAACCTGGTTGAAAAACTTCATAAGACTTTAAAATCTTTTAATTGCTTAAGTATATTTTAGTTTTAAAGGTTTATATTATGTTTTGGGTAGTCGAAAAAGTCTTTTCGTATTTCTAATCAAACTTCAACATATTTTTTTCTATTTATACTAATAAATAAATAAACAAATATGTATCCGTACCATATGGTGAAGCACTTTTTTCCATTTTTCCGCTAGAGACATTAATCCATCAGTGTAAAACTTTCATCGGGGTAAATCGAAATTTCCAAAACGGCGAATTTCTTCATTATTTTCACTCATTTTTGAACAGCCGTAACTTAAATCTCACCTTTCCAACACAAAGTACGAAAAGACTTTTTCGACTATCCAACATTTATGATTTTTCCACACTTATTCTATTATTATAAACGGTAATTCTTCCTTTACATTATCGTATATCTGCTTCGCTCTCTTTCCAGGTGCGTCGCAGCCTAGAAACGCTCTCAATGTTAATCCATGACAGAAGCTCAGCTCATGAACAGCGTGACGAAAGTGACTGAATTTATATTTCTAATTAATTTTAAATACAATTCAACCGTAAAAGGAAAGGGTACGAGCCTTTCACACACACACACATACATACATACTACATAATACTTTTAAGCTGGTAAACTACGATTAAATTGAAGCAGTTATACTTACTATAATGAAATAAATTCAAAATAAGCACTACATACAAACATAAAAGAAAAAAAAGCAGCAATTGGAAAGCGTAAAGTGAAAAAGTGCGTAGGAAATGCGGCAATGCAGCGCGCAAAAGAAGTTACATACACAAAGGATTAAAAGTAAGTCCCAAAGCAAATATACATGCACACAAATGTATTTAGGGTAAACACCGTTGGAAAAATTGCGAAGCATGTAAATATATTTTTCTTTTGAAATGTGCATCCTGTCAATTTGATATTTCTATTTTTGAATATTTTCGCTGATCACACTTCTTTGCATGTGGCTGTGCGCTCAAGTCAATTTTTATATGGTTCCTATTAACGGTTAAAGTAATTTTTTGGTATTGTAGTCATGCTGATGTGCCAAAGATATTTCGAAATGATATCTGTACTGCAAAGAACCACCAGTTGGTGAGCAAAATTGTATTTTCAACATTTTGCACATGTCAAAACGAATTTATATTATTTATGCAAAGCCCAATTTAAGCCTCGACAAAATGGTAAAACGTGAAAAATCGGCCAACGTTTTTCAACAATTTACAGCTACTTTGAAATTTTTCAATGAAATAAGTTGAATTTAAGATAAAAAGCACTATACATTTTTTTTATGTAACCCTTACGTGTGAAATAGAAGGAAATGCCAGCTTGGGGACAGCTGGAGACACAATGCACCTAAGTTGCCTCAGACCATTCAGCTCCTTCAAGGATTCTACACTTGAATACCGGAAATTGAAAAAAACATGCTGGCCGATTCTTCCATTTAACCCTCATGTGCATCCATTTACAAATATTTTGCCGTACCCCAAAAAACAAAAAAAAAAAAATAAAAAATAAAATAAAACTGCTGCGCTGCGCTATTGTCTGCAAATAAATGAAAAAAATTAAGCAAGCATGGTATTTTCACCTGTAAACCGCAAAAATAATTTATTACGCAAGCGGTAAAAGCAACTAAGTGTTAAAGTAAATTATATTGTAAAAATAAGAACAAAAAGTGCGCCAGCTGCGTGGCATAAAGCGCTGGCGATAAAAACTAAAAACAAAGTCTTATATATACTACAATAACAACAACAACAAAAAGCAAAACGGCAAAAGCCAAAGGAGAAAAGAGAAACACTTTCAGTAACAAACCTAGAAGCTGGGACATGGTGCAATGTTGGAGACGCCTGTGGCCCGATGCGCAGTCGCCGCCGCGGCTGCCGCAAGCCACGCGTTACACAAAATTACTAATTATAGACAAGCTCTCATGTGCTAACTCGATCAAAAAATGTGACGGAGTGTCGCACATGAACATTCAATTCAAACTTCTTTCGGCGCCTTAACCCTCATTTCCCATACACACATACACACACATGAAATTAGAGAAAAGCTTAAGATTTGACAAATCAAAGCATGCAATTTCCCCGCGCGTCTTCTCACACACACACACAACATTCGCCACCTATAAGCATGTTTTTAAACCACACTCTCAATTTGCTATTTTCCGCTTGGCAAGCTTCGGCGATTTTTCTTCTCTTTTTGTACACAAACAAAAGCAAAAAGAACGAAAGAAATGCAAGAAAATCCCTAAAACTTATTTTCGGCCTGGAAGTTTAGAGCGAAAGATTCCCCTGTGATACAAACAAACATGCGTACATGCATACATACAGACATACATATGTATTAAATTGATTTTTATTAAGTAAGAAAATGAAATTTGCGATTTAAAGTAAATCTTAAGTGTAGCTGAAATATTTATACATTTTTAATTGATTACGAAATTATGAAATAAGTTTGCGAATTTTGTTACCTTTTCCGGTGTAATTTATTAGTTGTAATTACAAATACTTCTGGCAAATTAAAAGCCTAACAGCACCTAGATAAATAAGTATATGTGCATGTATTTTAACGCATTATATAATATGCTGCAGACACTCTTTCCCGCTGCTTTGTGCTTTCGACTCTAAGAACAAAAATGTTCATAAAAAATAATGTGTATTTATTACTGTTGTAATTAAAAGTAATTAAATGTATTTGTGAACTAAAATAAAAACAAAGTCAGCTACTTCGTGTAATTTGCATGTGTTAGTGCAGTGGAAAGCGGAAGTAATAGTTTTTAAGACAAAATCCAAGTGAAGAGATTTTGTATGCGTTATTTCTGCGTTTTTGTATGATTAAAAGCAACATACTACGTAATAATTAGAAACTAGAAGAAGCAGCTGGTCCCCATTAATATATGATACTTCCATAAAAAGAAATCTAAAAGCGTGAAAATGAACATAATCAAAAGAAACGAGGAAAGAAGACGAATATGAATTTCTATTTGAAAGAAATTAATAGAATTTAAAAACAATTCAAAAATGTAAAAGTAAACAAAAATATTTAAATATTTAAATATTTTTGCTAACTTAATTGGCTTCTAGATTAGCTGAGTAAGAGAGACTACAAATATGGTAGAGAAATTGAAATAAAAAGAAAAACAACTTGAGAAATTATTACAAACAAACAAAAAGCAAAAATATAAAATAAACAGAAATTAAACACAGAAATACATAAAAATTGTAAACCGACCCAAAGGTTGATATGGTTCGCATGTAGCTTACAAGAAAACATTCATAAATAATCGAAAACAGAATATTCGCAATAAATTATGCAATATAGCGCAAACATGAAAATTTAAATAAAAAATGTTGTTTTATTCAATAATTTAGACACGAAATTGGCGCATCATTGCGCAGCGTAAGTATTCCTCAAAATAAATTTAAGAAAAGCAAGCATTTTGTGGTGAAATTTCATGAAAACCAGCGTTTTGCCACACATTTTTAATTCTCAAAAATTGTGGGTAAGTGCAAATGTAAATTTTCTCACACACGGTTGTAGCGCATGCGATTCTGCAAATTTCCACATTTTTAGTTTTTTTCTACGACCTCTAGTTCAAAAGTTATACGCGTTTTTCTTGCGACGGTTTTCGCCGGCTACTTGCTGCACGCTCCTGGTCGCCTAGTAGAAATCCAGGATTTTCGCTGCTAAATTAAATGCAATTTTTCTGCAGCCGGCAGCGGCGGCGGCAGCGAATGCACCCAAAAGCTTGCTGGTTGCCATTGCATATGCAAAGGGGCAAAAATGGACTGGCGGAAGCGGACAAGCGGGTGAGGACCGGAAACCGGAAATGGGAAATAACGGTATTATATTTCCGGTTTCAAATTTTTCCGGAAGTGGTGGACCGGAAGCGGATACCGGAAACCGGAAATGGAAATAGCGGTATCATATTTCCGGTTTCAAAAATTCCCGGAAGTTGATAACCGGAAGCGGAAACACGAAGATATTGTTTCTGGTTTCCGGTCCCACTTCATATCCGTTTCCGGTCTTCGACTTCCGGAAATTTTCGACACCGGAAATATGATACCGCTATTTCCATTTCCGGTTTCCGCCCAGTTCCACATCCTGCCCCACAGTTTGTCCGCTTCCGCCAGTCCATTTTTGCCCCTTTGCATATGCAATGGCAACCAGCAAGCTTTTGGGTGCATTCGCTGCCGCCGCCGCTGCCGGCTGCAGAAAAATTGCATTTAATTTAGCAGCAAAAATCCTGGATTTCTACCAGGCGACCAGGAGCGTGCAGCAAGTAGCCGCCGAAAACCGTCGCAAGAAAAACGCGTATAACTTTTGAACTAGAGGTCGTAGAGAAAAACTAAAAATGTGGAAATTTGCAGAATCGCATGCGCTACAATCGTGTGTAAGAAAATTTACATTTGCACTTACCCACAATTTTTGAGAATTAAAAATGTGTTGCACATCGCCAGTTTTTTACGAAATAATACTTAAAACGGCAATTTTTCTTAAGTGATGGTCTTGAAATGGATAAGGAAAACGTTTTTAAGTGTCTTCCTATTTATCGCAAGCCCAAAAAGTTTTAATTTGTACAATTTTTTCAATGACTTTGGATTTCATGAATAGACAATGTAAAGGTGCATTTTTAGTCTTTATTAACCGCTCAATTATCGTTTGGGATGAAGTAAAAAATAGCAGAAAACTTGATTATTTAATTTTTTTGCTAAATGCGTACTTTTATTTTGATGGTTGTATAAATTTTGCAAATACAATTACATATTCATCAAGTTTCATATTATTATTTTATATTACTTATTTATTAGTTTATTTAGTTTTTCATTTGCTTAGGCTTTTATGAATACATTTCCGCTTTAAATTGATTTATCGCAATTAGACTTGCTAATTCTTTTTCTACTCATTTATGTATGTGTGTGTGTATATAGGTTGTGGCCAAAAATAGCTACGAATACATGAATACAAAATCGGATAAGGTTTAGGAGCAGCTTTTTGGCTTGTTTCTTGCTGGTTTTTTAATGTTATTTTCTATTTGACCCCGAGGAAAAGGGTTTCTTTGACCTACTTCTAATTGTGGGGGGCGTTTTGATCGGATTTTACTTCTACCTTGATGTGAGGGTTTGGCGAAGTAATTGTTTATGCGGTTTAGCTGGGCTTAAACCCTCCTTGGCGTCAAAGAAATTTGCTTAAAAATTATTTTGAGTGAAAAAATAAAAAAAGTCTCAAATAAAAGAAATTAAATTTAGAAATTTAAATAATTTTCTGCTTAAAATATGGAAAAGTAAAGTGAATGGCTAATGTAGAGATAACTGTAAAGATAAAAAAATTAATAAAAAGGGGAATTTGATTTCGGTAAAAAATTTGGTAAAATTATAAAAAAAAGCATAAATAATAATAAATTTTTGTTGTTGACCTACAATTGTAAGCAAAAAATGGTGTGAAATACTACAAAAAAGTAAGAAAAAAAAT